ATTATTCTTATATCTTTAAGTACATTATTATAGGGGATATGGGAGTTGGAAAATCATGTTTACTACATCAGTTTACTGAGAAAAAATGTAAGTTATTATAATAGATGAAAAAGCAAGAAAAGTATGTTAACTGGAAGAATGATAAGCCACAGCTGGATTCAGAATGCATACATGATAGCAGGAAATAATAATGTTCTTCAAATTTTAGTTATGGCAGATTGTCCACATACGATTGGTGTCGAATTTGGAACAAGAATCATTGAAGTAGCAGGGCAAAAAATAAAATTACAAATATGGGATACTGCTGGACAAGAACGTTTCAGAGCAGTTACTAGGTACAGATAAATGAATGGTTGTTGAATTAAAGTATTTTACATAGATAAGATGAGCAATAATATGTATGGTATAGATCTTATTATCGAGGCGCGGCTGGAGCATTAATGGTCTATGACATAACTCGACGTTCAACTTATAATCATCTTAGCAGCTGGCTTACAGATACAAGGAATTTGACAAACCCAAGCACTGTATGCAAAATAAGATATTTTAAATAATGGTATTTACGTCTGTAAAGTGTAACTATTGTTGCAGAACTATTGAATGACGTATTTGCTATAATAATAACAGATTTGTATTGTGTCGCAAATGCTTGATCGTTTTGCACTTTTGCACAGGTCATATTTCTAATTGGTAACAAAAGTGATCTGGAAGGTCAACGAGATGTTACTTACGAAGAAGCGAAGCAGTTCGCTGAGGAAAATGGTCTCATGTTCGTAGAAGCTAGTGCAAAAACGTAAGTTAGATAATTGTGTTAAGCATAAAGTCATTATGTTTGTGTTATGCAATTGGAATGTAGATGTTTGGTCAAATTACATAATTGTAGTATGACTCATAATCTTGTTTTTCAGCGGACATAACGTTGAGGAAGCCTTCTTGGAAACAGCCAAGAAAATATTCCAAAGTATACAAGATGGCCGGTTAGTAAATTAATTTTTTCTACTTGCTCTCAAATATAAAATTAATTTCCATAAAAAATTGCACGTGATAATTTGTACACAGTCTGGACTTAAATGCTGCCGAATCTGGAGTTCAACATAATCCAAGTCAACCAGGACGTACTAATCTTCAAGGAGTATCTAACGAACAACAAGGTGGAAAAGATTCTTGCTCTTGTTAGGTCTTTATTTGTTTGTATATAGAAATATGAATTTATCGGTACTATTGATGCATATATGATTTATACTAAGTATAGAGAGCAAATAGTCTTCTATCTTTATCCCTTTACCTTTGATAAGTCAAATCTATTGAAAAACATCACTTCTTTTTCTAATTCGATTTAATTTACGAGGACAAGATACAAATAAATGATGTTCAGCATGCATATGCAATAAAATGTACTGATGACAGTAATTCTGTACTAGCATTGAAATCGATGTTTCAATGTTAACGCCTTTCTATGATCATTATAACTTGCAGATATTTTCCATAGATTATATACTTTGTTGCGTAAAGAAATTAAATATTAGACAATATGTTGTACTCACGAATCTTATAGTACATATGTACAAGGTGCATTGTGCGAAATATTTACTTAATCACATAAAAATATGATGAATATGAACATGACACAGTTGAATAAGATAAATATTTATCATTGTAAATTAAATTTGTCGGATAAGATAAAACACGTTCGATCGTGTTTCTTCTTTAATTTGCAGTTTGGAAGCTATTGTATTATACAGATTGTTAATACATCAATTTCTTAACAGCATGAAAAGATTCTCATCGTTCGACAAAATTGATTTTACGTCATTATGAGTAGTTCTGTAACTGCAACCCTACTTTCTTGTTGTATAAACGTATAAAACGAAGTGAAATTAAATATGATTTATATGTTTTAATTGAAAAATATTTGTTTGACCGATATAAAAATGACATATTTCCATTTGATAAATTAATATATTATTGTTAGCGTTTAAAAAAATTGTACTATCAGGATATTTTTTTTTACGTGATCGTGATATTGGATTACGTTAACTAATGTGATTTCCATACTGCTAAGGATGAAGTATTACAACAATTGTACAGTTTATACACATCTTAAATATTTACTCACCTTTCCTATATTTAATCGTATGAAAGATTTTAAAAGTAAATTTTATTATTTTTTATACATTTAATTGAAAACTGTTTTATGCTTACTAATTACTCAAGATTTATTTTAATTCCATGTTGTTTTCAATTGAATGAAGCAAAATTAATTATTATATGAATTGAAAATTAACAAACAGATCTTTAATTATAGATACGTACATATATATTGTAAAAGAAATTGACAGAAATAATGGCAAAAAAATACAAAATGATATGTATAATAAACTTGACCAAAGCCTTTCAAAGCTGCATTTACATATATAATCACCTACGTATGCAAAAAATTGGTAAGTTTGCAGTCTGAGTCTGATGTTCAAGACTTTCTTTTGTTATATATTATTTTTACTTGGAAGCAACTTTTGATGTGTAATTCCTGATCAATTCATGTCTTAAATATGTGGATTGCTAATAATAAATATGTAACAGAAAAAAGAATTTCGTTCATTTTGTGATGTTTCGATTATGACAGAACAAGTATAATGTGATTTGTAAGTTTAAATTAGCAATTTAATTACTTAGAAAGAGAAAAATGACACTGGTGGGTCTCTATCCTTGTTTAATCGTGCGTGGGCGCTCAGCGTTCTTTTGAACTCCGGAACAATTTATCTTGCATTTCTTTCGGACCACTGTCACAACTATTTTTTCCTATAGTAATTCACACTTCAGTTAGGACAGAGCTTAATGAATTTCCCTATGAATTAGATTTTACCAGAGAGAAATTTTACGTTCTGAAACTGTTTCTCGCACGAAGAAGGTCTTTGTTACATTTTTGTAGTACATGGTTCGGTTCGGTCGTGCACATAGAGCATCGCAAGCTTGTGCAGGCCGGGTTATAAGAACAGGTAGAAAGAGAAGAGATTCACAGATTTCTTATGATTTATTTGTAACTATTTCGAATTTACTTATATCCGTGAGTGAAATCTAACCGATTTTTGGCGAGGATTTTCATTTCGGAACGTGAAGAAGCTCTACGAAAACTGAACGTGGACAAAGGAAATCTTGAAAGTAGATCAAGATGCAGGAATCTCAGCCGAAGAAAGGCAAGAAAGGTGAGGAAGTAATGACGGGATGCAAACGTCTGCATCATTGAATGTGAACGAAGTAAAGTTTGTGCGTGTGTCTAAAACATGAATTTAAAAAAATTGTACTATCAGGATATTTTTTTTTACGTGATCGTGATATTGGATTACGTTAACTAATGTGATTTCCATACTGCTAAGGATGAAGTATTACAACAATTGTACAGTTTATACACATCTTAAATATTTACTCACCTTTCCTATATTTAATCGTATGAAAGATTTTAAAAGTAAATTTTATTATTTTTTATACATTTAATTGAAAACTGTTTTATGCTTACTAATTACTCAAGATTTATTTTAATTCCATGTTGTTTTCAATTGAATGAAGCAAAATTAATTATTATATGAATTGAAAATTAACAAACAGATCTTTAATTATAGATACGTACATATATATTGTAAAAGAAATTGACAGAAATAATGGCAAAAAAATACAAAATGATATGTATAATAAACTTGACCAAAGCCTTTCAAAGCTGCATTTACATATATAATCACCTACGTATGCAAAAAATTGGTAAGTTTGCAGTCTGAGTCTGATGTTCAAGACTTTCTTTTGTTATATATTATTTTTACTTGGAAGCAACTTTTGATGTGTAATTCCTGATCAATTCATGTCTTAAATATGTGGATTGCTAATAATAAATATGTAACAGAAAAAAGAATTTCGTTCATTTTGTGATGTTTCGATTATGACAGAACAAGTATAATGTGATTTGTAAGTTTAAATTAGCAATTTAATTACTTAGAAAGAGAAAAATGACACTGGTGGGTCTCTATCCTTGTTTAATCGTGCGTGGGCGCTCAGCGTTCTTTTGAACTCCGGAACAATTTATCTTGCATTTCTTTCGGACCACTGTCACAACTATTTTTTCCTATAGTAATTCACACTTCAGTTAGGACAGAGCTTAATGAATTTCCCTATGAATTAGATTTTACCAGAGAGAAATTTTACGTTCTGAAACTGTTTCTCGCACGAAGAAGGTCTTTGTTACATTTTTGTAGTACATGGTTCGGTTCGGTCGTGCACATAGAGCATCGCAAGCTTGTGCAGGCCGGGTTATAAGAACAGGTAGAAAGAGAAGAGATTCACAGATTTCTTATGATTTATTTGTAACTATTTCGAATTTACTTATATCCGTGAGTGAAATCTAACCGATTTTTGGCGAGGATTTTCATTTCGGAACGTGAAGAAGCTCTACGAAAACTGAACGTGGACAAAGGAAATCTTGAAAGTAGATCAAGATGCAGGAATCTCAGCCGAAGAAAGGCAAGAAAGGTGAGGAAGTAATGACGGGATGCAAACGTCTGCATCATTGAATGTGAACGAAGTAAAGTTTGTGCGTGTGTCTAAAACATGAAGATGTTTTAATCACCTTCCTTGCGTTTTATTCTTCCTTCGATTATTGTCGTCTGCTTCGTTTTAACCTCACCTAACCGCACACGGGTTACATACGGAAAGGATAATAATGTATATTTCAATTCTCTCGTATATTTATCGTTTGATAAATTAGACTTCTGGTTGTTCTGCGATTAAAAGAAACCGATATTTCCTTAATAATTTAGGGGAATGAACGTAATACATATAATTTGGTAACGTGATGCCTATTTCGAAGGTGATGTTAGATAACACGGTCCTTTATATCCATTGAACGATTATGCATAATAGTCCCATATTCATCTGCCAAATATTGCATTAATCTAGAATCATACAAATGCGATTCGATTGTCAAAACTTATATAAAGTGAAAGTTATTTAGTTACACAGTAGATAGTGAAAGTGACGTGAGGCCAGAAGTTGAATTTCAAATTTTCATACCCTGTAGGGAACATTCAATAATGTTTTATAATATCACACTTCCTAATATATGTATTATATATCAGAATAAAGAATTATTTTATACCTGTTTGGTTACAACAGATATTGAATTGAAATATATTTTTATTTTATAATTCTGTAAACAGCCAGAAGAAAGAGGAATGATAGTGATGAAGATATTGAGAAAGTGTTGGCTGAATTGGAAATGGAATATTCTGGACAGAAGAAAGAAGAGCCAGTCGACCAGAAGCCTGAGGAGGATAAAAAGGAAGAGGATAAAAAGAAGAATAAAGGAAAGAATAAAGGGAAAAAGGAAAAAGGAGATATTATTGATATTAAAGAAGAGTTGAAGGCCACTGTACTTCTAGATGAGAACGATATGATCGATGATGAGACAGACATGGAAATTAGCACTGTGAAAACTGCTGCGCAGAAGAAGAAAGAGAAAAAAGAAAGAGAAAAGCAAAAAAAACTTGCCCTAAAGAAAGCGGTATGTAACTTTATAATTTTACAATTGTATTAAACTAATTCCAGAGCTATTATATCGGATTTAATTGTGATAGGAAGTAGCTAAGAAAGATGAAGATGAAACGTCTGTAGAGAATAAGCAAAATGAGAAACAACCAGAAATGAAGGTACCAGAAACAAAGGTAGCTGAAACGAAAGAAACAGATGCTCCAGTATCTGTTGAAGGTGACGAGGGGAAGAAAAAGAAAAAGAAGGCTGCAAAGGAAGAGACGAAAGAGAAAGATAAAGGTAATGAGGTTTTTTATCCCTGTTTAATGTAGAAAATTAATACAAGTTATACGAAATTATTTAAAATATAACTTTAAACTGCGTTCATATTTAGTATAATTAGATATGTGTAATAGGCAAGGGTCCTGGGAAGAAGACTATTGCTGCGATGCAAGAGGCCTTAAAAAAATTAAAAGAAGAAGAAGAAAGGTTAAAGAAGGAAGCGGAAGAGAAGTTACGACAAGAAGAACTGCGAGAACAAGCTCGTTTAGAACAAATTAGGCTTGAACAGGAACGAAAAGAGAGGAAAAAGCTTAAGGAGAAACAAAGGAAAGAAAGGTTGAAAGCAGAAGGGAAGCTGCTGACCACAAAACAGAAGCAAGATAGGGCAAGAGCGCAGGCCATGATCAATGCTCTTAAAGCTCAGGGCTTAGATTTACCGATCGGTGGAGAGAAAAAACCTACTGGAGAAAGGAGGCCAGGTAGATATTCTAATTCGCATAAAGGAATACTGAAGTGGTGAACGATGAGTAATGTATCGTTTCAGGAACTCGAGTGAAATCGAATAAAGTGAAACAGCAAACGAGCGTCGATGAAAAGGATGATGAAAGGACAGAGGAAAGTGTGGCGGAAACGGATAAAGTTGAAGTTGAAATTGTGGACGAACAACAAAAAGAACCTGAAGAGAAGTTAGACGACGTCAAGGATTCGTGGGATGCGGAGACCAGTGAGGAAGAACGGGACGAAGGTATTAACTACGTAGCATAAATTATATATTTCCACTAAAACTATGATTTATAGATAAATCAGATGATGTGCCAAAAACCCCTAAGAAGATTAAAGAAACAATTCTTCCCATTGGAAAAGCAAAGCAACCGCCGATTATACAGACTACAAAAGACTCGTCGGAGAGCGAGTCTGAGAGTGAAAGCGAAAGTGAATCGGAATCGGACGAGAGTGAAGATGACAGTGGCCTAGAAGATAAGGTGTCAGATGCGGCGAAGAAGAAGGAGCGAGTTAGGGAACGAATACAACTTCGAAGAATAGAAGCGGAGAAGAAGAGATCGGTGGACAATCTACGAGCCGCCGTAGTATGTGTTTTGGGTCACGTCGATACCGGGAAAACGAAAATTCTAGACAAATTAAGGAGGACGAACGTACAGGATGGGGAAGCGGGAGGTATTACTCAACAAATTGGCGCGACGAATGTACCCATCGATGCTATTCGAGAATCGACTAAACACATCAAGGGAGTGAGTATTTTTTCACGATCGTTCTATTGAATTAAATATTGGACAGGATTAATAGAAGATAACAATTTCTTTTAGTATGCCGATAAAAAATTCAAGATTCCCGGACTTTTGATAATAGATACACCTGGACACGAGTCTTTTAGTAATTTAAGGAACCGTGGATCTTCTCTTTGTGATATAGCGGTGTTAGTGGTAGACATTATGCATGGTTTAGAGCCGCAAACTATCGAAAGTATTGATCTACTGAAGGCGAAGAAATGTCCTTTCGTCGTAGCTTTAAACAAAATCGACAGGTACGATATTTAAAAATATGTGACTACTTCAAATATTTGCAACATGACGCGATCGTAATTTCTTTAGATTGTATGATTGGCAAACTATGAATCGAAAGGATATTCAAGACATCGTGAAGAGTCAAGCTATTAACACGCAGCGAGAATTTGAGAAACGTTCGAAGGACGTTATTGTGCAATTTGCCGAGCAAGGATTGAATGCTGCGTTATTCTACGAAAATCCTGATCCTAGGACTTACGTTTCTCTTGTGCCTACCAGTGCCATTACAGGTAATTACATTATTTTATGTTATGTACGCAGACTGCGAATTGTTGTGCAAAATAAATTATTTACGGTATCGGTTTAAGAAATCTGTTCCAAATAGAAATTTCATTTATGTTTTAAACATCGCAACGTGCACTTTGCATTTGATATTCTGTACATTTTTATGCACTACTTGCAAAGTTTATATTTTTTGTATATTCAGTTTCTTCATACACGTATAAAATCCGCGCACTATGTGATCTGACTGTAGCAAAATAAAATGAAAATTGATTTGTTTTCCATACAGGCGAAGGTATGGGTAACCTGCTATCGTTAATAGTCGACGCTTGCCAAGGTCCTCTAGCTAAGAGACTCATGTACAGCGAGGAACTACAAGCGACAGTCTTGGAAGTGAAGGCGCTTCCAGGTCTTGGAACCACGATAGATTGTATTCTAGTCAATGGATTGTTGAGGGAAGGTGATACAATGATAGTAGCGGGTACCGATGGTCCTATAGTAACTCAAATTCGTTCGCTTCTTATGCCGCAGCCATTGAAAGAGCTGAGAGTCAAAGTAAGCACTCGACGTTTTCCCCAATACATAATTTGCTATATCAACATAAAATCATTTATCTTACGAATTATAGAACGCTTATATCGAACACCGCGAAGTGAAAGCCGCGCAAGGAGTAAAGATAGCCGCGAAAGATCTGGAAAAGGCGATCGCGGGTACGTAGCACGTGTGTCAAGCATTATTACGATAAAATAAGTACGATAACCATGATTCTGCGCTCTGTTCAACAGGATTGAATCTCCAAGTGGCTCAGAAGCCTGACGAAGTAGAAGTGCTGAAGGAAGAAATTGCTAAAGAATTGTCTAGCGCACTCGGGAATATTCGGCTTGTGGAACGTGGCGTGTACGTGCAGGCGTCAACGTTGGGCGCCCTCGAGGCTCTGTTAGATTTCCTCAAGAGCAGCAAGATACCGGTGAGTTTTAATTACAATTATGATAGCTGCTTTGCACGTTTTCTTATACGCGCGAAATGATGAACATAAGAAAGCGCTCGCAATGGTCGCAGAAGAATAATTTATTGCTAGTTAGAGATTCGTGTCGTTACACTGTTGGGGACTATAAAATAGCACATAAAATTTGCGAAAACAAATAGCGTAAGAGATTGTAGACGGCGAAGCAGGCCGCAGCGTGGCTGAAAGCGTATGAACGGGTGGGAAAAGGATAGCCAGAGGGAGGGATGGGTTGGAAAGGGAGAGAGAAAGAGAGACAACAGCAGCAACGAACCACTTCCTTCTTAACAGTTTAGCAGGATACGACTCATTGGTCGCATATGGTGCTTGTAGTTGTGATCCATCGTGCTATCAGCCGCGTTGTGCATCCGTGGGCACGCCTTGTACGCTTCACACAGGGTGTCTTTTATTTTTTTTACCAAGCAATCAAAGATAATAATTCTTTTGCTATTTAATTTTTACACAGAACAGTCATTTTATCCCCTTAATTTAATGATATTGTTTATAAGGATTTCATAAATATTTATAAAAAGATATATACAAATATGGTATTTAGAAAATGAAGTTGCTATGATAATATTACTCGATCAAGGCACGTTATTCGAGTACCATTAAAGTACTTGATATTTCATTCCTAAATATCTTTCGTACCATCAATTATTCGATGCAATCCCAAAAGTCTTGAGTCGATATTAATCCTAATCATTCACCATTGACTTTAGTTTACCTAGAGTCTGATGTTCTATCTTAGCCAAGACTTCTACAGACGTCCGAACGATAAAGGGGGGAAAAAAATGTGGAGGTATAGGTAGAATGGTCCGGTTGGAGATAACGCGTCTGAAACGGCCTTAAGCCTGTCCTTCCTCGGATTATGAATGGGCTGCCCCCACCGTATCGTACGATCACGTGGCTCGTGACGTCAAGTTTTATCGCGACACACGCACGCACTCGGCCGTAAGTAAGTACGGCCGGTCGGTCCGTCACTCGGCGGGCGATGCGGGTATGCTTTTACATATGGCATGCAGGAGGAAGTAGACGCTGGCAGGCAAACACGGTGGCAGCCTTCTCTCTCTCTTTCTCTCTCTCTCTCTCTCTCCCTGTTGTCCGTCCTTCTCCGTTCGACACATTCGTGCGCGTCTCTTTTTCGACGAGAAATCGTGGGGCTGGTGGGCCAAACTCTCGCTGACAGTGTGTAGAGATTCTTCGAGAGGGCCCCTCTTCGATTCGCGCACACACCGAAACGGGCGCGTGTGGGTTGGAAAAAGGAATACGTGACCAACGTACAGGAAACTGCCCACACTCGGAGCAAAAGCACCGTGGGTGGACGGATCGACGAACGGGCGGACGTACGACTCGAATCGTAACCCTGTGCCGAGGTCTAGAAGGCGTGCGTTGCACCGGAGATGAGACACGAATGCGCGGACGAGCTCTGACAACGAAATAACCAGACTGATATTTATTTCGAAGAAACTGGCAATCGTACACGAACGAAGTTCTACGCCAGCTCGTATATATCGATTTACCTACCCACCCGTGGGAGAAGAGATATTTCGATCACGTTTCGTCGCTACGAAACGTGCGTTTCAATCGCGGTCTCATTCGCTATTATTCGTGCTCCGTTTCAGAAAGTATACGTAATTCGATTCTGTCATTGTAATCAGAGAGGTTCCACCGACGATTCGTTATGAATGAATTTAAATTCACGTAGATACGTGGTTTTCGTCGATCTCGCAAGCAATGTTCGAGCGGAACGGTTAATTTACGAAACGAGTCGGCTTCGAGCTTGTGTATGTTAATGCGTACGTATGTACGTACACGCGCGCATCCACGCGGTTATGACGACGTTGGCGAATTGAAAATTCTTGCCGAGCGTTTTCCTGTCCTCGTCCTGTTTAGACGTGCAGGATCGGAATAAAATAGTTTAACCGGAACACGCGCTATCCTTCTTGGAACGAGCCCGGAGCCACGCGCATCGATTAATAATTAACCGTCGCGTTTGTAACTTAGCCACGTAGTAATCAATCGTTTTTAGTGTATAGGGGATCATCTGAGAAATAAATTTAATTATCAGTCGTTGCGAAATGGAAAATTGGAACGAGTTGATTTTTCGCTCGTTCGAGTCTGGGTAGCATAGTTAGAGTTCAGAGCTGTAGCTCGCGACAGGTGGAAAGAACGGTACAGAGCTCCGATTCTCTTCTGCAGCAGGAAAAGATGGCTCGTTTCCTCGTATTGTTTTTAACCGCGGTGTATAAGCAGCTATACCGGGACATGGGAGCGGATATGCGGAGCACGGACACGCGAGTGCACACTCCGTCGGCCGGGCCGGCATCCTACGATCCTATGCACGCGTTATCACAACGAGCCTCGGAGACCGAGAGAACCAAACGACGTTGACAATCTAGTTAAAGTTGCATGAGCCGTAAAATCTCTGCCAAAAGTTTAAGACACGTGATAAGAAGATAAAAGTTTTGCTATTCAACATAGGAATTCAAGAAGTAATCATTTCTTTTAATAGATTCGCAAAATTTCTGAAATTTCCAATAAATGTTATGAATACTTTGTCATTGGTTTTATTTAAGAGCTCGTGCAACTTTAATCTTGACGAAAACTGATTTAGTTGCCGGTATCGATAGTATCTTGTTCTCCTTTCTCTCTTGTCGCTTACGATCTAAGGCGAATGGGGGAAAGTCGACTAGAAATCGGAAACGGAAATATTCGTCTAAATAATAGCGATTGTCTTTAAGTAGAATTTCACAGTGCCATTCGTTGCGACCCCATTCGTAAAACCACGCATGAATGTCATTCGACAGACTGTAGATTTAAAAGTTAGTTCAAGTTGCATCAATTATTGTATGAATTATTGTGTCGATCATTACACGAAATATTGTGTTAAGGGAATTCTACTGATTTTC